TCAAAGTCATGAGTTATCATTGACCAAAATTACCACGTAATTTGATGAATGGTCGTCTTAACCAGCGCCGGCCGTCAGCTCCGATCGATGACATCTCCGATATATCCCGGTGTAATTTTTAAATAAAGGATGTCTAATTCTATGATAAGCGTTACGTATATCATTTGGACATCAGTTGCCAATGTCCATCCGCAACTTTACAGTTTATGAACGAAATATTAATAAACGCACCTCGTGATCGATCCATAAGAAACGAATGTAAAGTTCATTATTTCGTAGCGAATATTAAATTGATCTTATACCGTCCAAAGTAACGTACAGTCACACGATATTAAAGACGAGATATCATTACGTACCTCCTCGCACGGTAGCCAAATGTAGAGTGATTCTCGAAAGCGAGGTACAGAATAATTAAACAAGATCCCGACCGCAAAGAAGGAGCTAATTGTTGACCGATTGGACTGTAAAAATCATTTGTTTGTCGTCATATCTCTACATTGGACACCGTAATATGCAAAAAGATAATGCTGTGCGCGTAGTACGCTCAAAAGCTCCGCCGAGTGCGCAAATTTGCACCAGCAAATTAACACACGATAATGTAACTTCCGATAATACGCCTCTTTCGTCACGGCTAAGACTCACAAAATGTTTTATTGCGCTTATTATTAACTGTGTTAAGAAATTAAAAAATGCCATGCGAGAGAAATAATAGCAAAAGGAAAAAAAAGCGGCAATGGATCGGTATTGTTAAACATTACCTGCATTTCCAGAAATTATCCAATCCATTTAAATAATATTGATGGAGACGGCAAGTACCACTTATATTTTCTACACATCCGAAAGCACGAATCACGAAGACTAAACTCATAAAAGTACAAAATGTACCATATATACAAGATATTTCTTTGGCGATATCTGATAGTTGATCTAACAATTATGCATTTTCGTACGTCATTAAGAAAGACGTCAGAAGATGTCGGTTCAACCTTCTCCGATTACGAAAATATTGTTTCGCCGAGTTTTGCATATCCACGATTGTGTTAATTAATTCAATTGTGCAGCGCGAGAGATTCGCGGAACTACATCACTTGCATTACATTTAAATATTGTGAAGCGATTCGCGAAGAAATCTTGAAGATTGAGCGCATTTTTACCGATCGCGATCGCTGATAACAAATATCAGCGACAATGTTTAACAACCGTGGTAATTAATGCAGATAAAGAGATGCGATAAAGAATCCTGAAAAGTTGATTCACTGCCAGTATATAAACCCGAGATAAATTCCTTCCGAGAACGAGCTGACCTCTCAATAGTCTTCGAGTGATCAAGAAGCGTTTTGCATTCTCGCGCACCAACATCACTGTACTTACGAGAATTATACGTTTCTTTTATCCTTGTACTCTTCTTCACGATTTCATATCCAAGCATATTTTCGTTATTTCTCGCCTAATGTTCTCGCACGTGCTTGCTTTCGCACGTGACGGAAGTTCATCAATCATCACAATATTGCGCATCGTCATTGAATACTTCGATTTATTAAACCTGCAACTGCAGTTGCAAAAGACGCGGATGTTAATACGAACTGGAATGTTATTCGTTTATTAAATCACAATGTATTCCCGTTCCATCATTTTCACGTGATCTCGCTTAGGTAATAAAATTTTTATCTTCAGACAATTGAAAAGCATTTCTTACGTATAAAAGTACAAATAAAAGTACTTATAATGTACACTAGAGATATGTATATTAGCATGCGCTTCAATAGACAAACATTAAAGGCGGCTGTACGTTGAAACCGTCATGGGGGAATGGAAGTCCCAGAACGCCACGGATGTCCCATGGGTTCCATGACCCCCCCTGACAGTGTGTTAGATTATCGTAGTGAATTAGTTAATGCGAGTCACATGAAGCGGCGATGAATTATCGTGCCCGCGATGTATCAACACTGTGTAGACGACTGCATTTTGGACAGGATCGTTTGTCCAATTATTGGATCTTCCTTCCTGTTTAGCCGTGACAGAAAGATGAATCACACCGTGAGCTCAACAATCCTTATCGTGTTCCTTTTTCCTCCGACAGATTGCACACGCGCGTGATTTGCAAATCACATGCGTATATACAAATTTTGCCATAAGATGGAATATCAAAAAAATTTTTTATTGAACGCGATGTAATAATAAATTTGAATTTTGATGATTAATAAAATGAATATAGATCATTTATGTTTTAACTAGAAAATTAAATATTTTAATTACACATAAACTCTAGCTAAGCATTAATATTTCTTCTAAATGTTTTCGCAAAACGTTCGTGGATTTATTTCTTCGAAGAACTACCTATATTGATAAGAAAATATATATCGTGATTATATTGAGCGTTTAGTCGCAGATTCGACAATGAGATAAGTCTAATTAACGTCGACTGCTACTAGCCGACGGCATTTTTAATGAGTCATATAGTTCTCTTAGCAAACCATGCTTTGCTACTAATTCGTTGATCATCTATCTGAGTCACAGAATGAATTATGCAAATTTTTAGAAACAAGTTTGAGCTTTATCTTTGACTTTATCGTTAACAGTGATAACGTATAATGATTTTCTGCAACAATATATTTTTCGTTTAAATATTTAATTACTTCTAGGATTGACGATTCGCGTTATCGCATGAAAAAGTCAGATGAAATAACGTTTCATTCCTGTCTGCTCGATAATACGGGGACAAACAAAGCGTGCCGAAGATAACTTTTGAACCTCCTGTGCATTTACTGATTCCGTCGGACTGAAAAATATGCGAAGTCGAATCGCTCGTCACGGTCGTTTATATCGCAAAAAGCAGAATGTGGGTATAAGCGGTACATCCATTTTGAAAGTTAATGCGTAAATTTTTCAAGAAGAAAAAATTCCGTCATGCAATATAACAATAGGTTTAAACAAACGACTGTAAAGAATAGATTTTAAGATTCACGCTTATCAATGGTTGATTAACGCGTACGTATTCCTAAGAGTTTTCCATAAAATCGTCTTTCTTAAGACTGATTCTTTTCTTCACACACAATCGCTTACGTAGATCGCCTTTTCGGAATAAAGTCAATGGTGATAATTGCGACCAACCTTCGCCGCTTGAAGCTCTAATTTTATCGTGCTTGGCGAGCACTGTTTATAGCGCTATTACAGAAGTATTTACAATTATTTAATAAAAAGATCTAATAAATAAAAGAGATATCGTGGTACAAAATTTCATAAGATTTTTAGAAATAGTCATACACGAGAGAAATAATCATAATTCGATTTGTTTAACATATATATATATGTAAGAATAAGAAACCATAAGAAGCGAATGTCACGTCAGATTTTTATTTAATATATCTAGAAGATAATTTTATTTAATATATACAGAAACTACAAAACTACAAAAAAATAAATATCACGTCATTTCTATCGATAGATGACCAAGAGAACGCAACATTGCGATTTTAATTCACATCTCAAACACGTGGCATATATTTGCGTGAGGTAATTTTTCGATCATTCGACGGGAGAGGGGAGGCAAAATATCAATTTTGTCAATGAATTTTCAAAGAGAAATTTGTCTTTGTGATAAATCTGATGAAAAAACCAGATGTTTCAATGCTGCTTAAGAAAGATCAGTAACAAAATCTTTGACTGAAAATTATTGTAAAACGGATCACCCTGAATCTCATAAAATAAATTAAATTTTTTATCTGTTTATTCCATTAACTAACTTTTAATTCTGAGAAATTGAAAACAAATATTAGCATTTATATCTTGTCCTCTTTTGATAGGAACTGATAGTACGAAGTCGAATCAGACGCCGCGTCTATGCGACATAATCGCTGATAACCCTGTTCACTGTTTTCGAGCTAAAAAGCAAGCGAATTAATAGAAGAGTTTCTTGTTAAACAAATTCTAGTTTATTAAATTCTAAAATTAATTGTTTATGAGAATATATGTCGGTTTTACATGAGTATTGATAAAGAAAACATATACATGTACCTTAACATTATTGTACAAAATGGATCTATTTTCTTGTGGTTAATCTAATTAGTGTACACTTTTAGAACTTAAAATGAGATAGGAATACTTTTGTATGTGTGATATTTGACGAAAATGGGAAAGAGAGTTCTAGTGCAGCCTGATACAAAAATAAAAATCAAACATGTTATTATAAGATACATATATTTGTATATATTATAAAATACATAAATATAATATATATTATATATTATAAAACTACACTGTAAAGCCATAACTAATATAATTTTTATAAAAAATAATATTTATGTTCGTATTTTGTTTACGTTAATTTATATGCGCACGAAATCTCTTTGAAAGAAGACCCGCAGATAAAAAAAAAAATTAATTTGTAGTACTTATAAAACAGTCTCTCGAATGTTCGAATTTTTGCGACTTGTTTATTTTCGATAATCTACCAAGTTTCGTATTATCGACGGCACTCACTCGCAAAGACGTAACGACTGTAATCGAGAATAAGCGGACAAGTCCAAGGACGTCATCATCATCGACCGGTGATCAAATCGCACCGATGGTTATATCATCGTAGCGAACATCGTGTCTGTTCAAATCATCGAATTGCACACGCGATCTGATTATGCCTCGGCATAATAAATATTATCCGTACAATTCTGAGATTGATATAAATATCTCATTCACTTTCATAAGTAGATCTTACATCAGTCTTATTACGCTTCCAGATATTTATTTGGAAGCGATCATTCCATAAGTGCATATATGATCAATTTCGGATACAATTTAAGTAAAAAATTAATAATTACATAATCTTTATAAATAAGTATCAAAATAGATGTTCTTTGTATTTTCTTTATCACAATTAAATTAGCATTTTAATTAATTTTCGATTATTTTTTTCGTATTCTATATTGAGGTTCATTAAAAATTGACAAACGATACATACAAAACAAAAGAAATTAAATCAGAGATAGAACAGATTAATTCTTTGCTGATAATTATTATAAAAAATCAAATGGATTTAGCAACGAGTTTCATCGCTGGTACGCCCATGTGTTTAGCTAATTCCTCCGAAGCCTTTAACTGATTTGGATGATACGAGATTCCGCCCTCCTTGTCGACCTTGCTCATGTGTTGTCTTTCGGGATCACCGGCGATCAGAACCGCCTTCTCGCCGGAGGTGGGTAGGTCTCTCAGCTGTTTGAGCAAGGTCGTCAATCTCTCTTTCGATCCGCGCGCAAAGGCCTCCGGATTAATTGCCATGAAGCACTGTCCGAGATCGGCGACCCTGTCGCCAGACTTCCAAGCGCGGATGTTCGGTCCAAAATGACTTCCGGTCAGGATACCACAGAGTATCTCAACCATTAGACCCAGACCATAGCCCTTATACCCAGAGTTGTGTTCCTCACCACCGAGAGGCATCAATAAAGAAGCTTTGTAAGCCTCTTCGGCATCACGGGTCATTTTTCCGTCAGATCCGAGTGCCCAGCCCTCGGGGATGTCCTCGTTCTTCCGAATTGCCAACTCGATCTTACCCAAGGCTACGGCGGTGGTCGCCATATCGAGAACAAATTCGTCGCCGTCGCAAGCGGCCATGCCTAAGGACAAGGGATTCGTTCCTAGAGCGGCTTTCATGCTGCGCGTCGGTGCCATCAGCGGACTCGTGTTGGTGCAGGTGAAACCGATCAGGCCTTGTTCCATCGCCATCATGGTATAGTAACCACAGATACCGTAGTGATTAGAGCCACGTGCCGCTACCATGCCGATACCAAATTTTTTGGCCTTTTCTATGGCGAGCTCCATGCAATACTTGCCGATCACTTGACCTAACGCGTTTTTTCCATCAACGAGAGCTATCGCCTGAAAGATATGACGCAAAATATCTCCTAAATATATAGCTATGTAAGAAGTCTATAGTTCCTATAAAGTCTGGTGAGTCTGATGGAATTTGAAGTCGTAATCTAGCTTTGCTGTCGTATATTTTTTCGCAAAATTGCTTCCTTATGAAAATAAAAATATTTTATGCGCGAGCCTCTAGGTGATACTATAAAGATTGCGTTTATTGCGTTTGATTCACTAAACACGTGTATCATGCTTGACGCACTCAAGTAAGGTAATCATGTTATACACGCAAGCGCACATATTTCCGATGATATCTACAATTCTCACGAGTAAAGATACATTTTAAAAGTAATTAGAGCCACGCTAATTAGCATTCACATATTTATTACCAATTGCCAAATTACCGACGCGTTTATCCGATAAATTATCGCGCGCGTGTTTCGCGACTATGCCGTGCCGGCGATTTTCGCAATGCTGTTCTAAAAGGTAATTACGGCGGCGGTAATTAACGTTCGTGTTTTGTTACTGGTCGTCAAACTGCCAATAGAATTCTATTCAAAAAGTTTCCGTTTTATAAGGAAGGTAACACGAATAATTTTATTGAGTGCAAAATACAACAGATATTGCCACAAAACAACTGCTTTAGCAACGCAATTACAATTGCTTAATATTTACGGCTGATGGAAAACGCGATAAAGGAAACATGTAAGGTACACAAGTCGACGACAAATGCCTTTGCCAGCAAAGAAAGAAAATCCTATTAATCAGGGGAACGAGTATCTTATTAGGTCATCAGTTGTTAAGATATGAAGGCCAATCCTACAAGAGCGGCTTTCAGAGAGGAGAGGAAGAGCATCCCGTCATCATTACTGTGAAATAAGTAAACACCATTTTTTATGGTATCACATATATACAATTCTTATTGGCTCTTCCTATTGGCTCGGCGCTCGAAAAACATTTACGTCACTGATGACATTCACCGCAATCAATTGATAACGAATATGTTTGTACGAATATATGTACAATATACGAATAGCTTCATACACTGGAAGTATGGAACGATTACAAAATTTCAAACGAGTGTGACGAGTAAATTATAGGATTTAACCCTTTCAGACTTGATTTTAATAAAATCATGTTAAAATATTTTTTTTAATTCAATTCAAGGGCAATAAGTAATTCATACTATAAAATTAATTTTTTTCAAAATTTAGACTACTTCAGCATCTCAGATGATGGCGAAACTAAATATTATAATTTCAATGGATAATGTCTTCAAATTTGTGTACATTACTATATGTATAGGTCTGAAGGGATTAAGGACACTTTTGTCGCGATATTCAAATTCCACCAACTGCACCGAGAGAGAGACAGATTCGCGCGAACCTGAAAATCAGTGACAATCTGCGGTCGGGCAGCGGGATCAGTGATTCTGTTTTCGATGTCCGTCACATACATCTGCAACCGGTTCATCCCGTGGCTGAAATGACCTCTGTAATCCGCCGTCATTAAATGATGACCGACGGCGTGTCCGTCTTCCTTCGTGGTACCGGCCTTACACATGCACTCCTCGATGAACCTGATGATCTCGTCCTTAGGGACGACCTTCTGGTCGTAATCCTGGCATCTGGTGGACGTCATTCTGGCGACAACGGTGTGCGCGCGTAACGACGAACTACTCGTTAAAAGTTCCAAGAAACAACTGAGTGTCGCTTTACGAATTACAGTCAGCATTTCTCGCCTCTGATTCTTTCTGTCTGTCGTCGATCACACAACCTCGCTTTATCACGCGGTTCACCTTATCGAGAACGGTTAGCTGATTCGCTCTACCAATCAAGAATTAATCCTATGCACATAGTCGCGAGTTACAATCTATAATACTTTGCGTTATCACTTATCGATTGCGGTGAGAATCAGAGATGCACGATTATTTCCAATTTCCTCCTCGATGTTTGGTTTTAATAACGATAAATTGATGAGCACGAAGCACTGATTGTATTAAATAAGAAAACAATACGACTTTTATACACAGTGAAATAACTTTTTCATTTTCGACTCTCTATTTTGTGTATTTTCCAGCTTCCTTACTTCGTTCAAATTAAGCGCCAAATTGCGGAGGAGTCACGTGTTTAACGTTAGGTTGGTTAGTCACGATTACGTGTCAGCGGTTACAGACTCAGGCGAATCGATATTCTCCACTCACAATGATTTCCCTTCACGCGCAGACCTAACTTCGCAGAAGAGACTACCGGTGACATTAATGTTCTTTTCTAAGAAAAAATCACGAGGAAAAAATGCTTCTGCCTATACTTTCAAATACAACGTTTGACGTATTCCACGTGCTATGTACGCTCACACCATCGCGTCGTCGACATTGGCGTTGACTAATCAAACATTGGCAAAACTGTAACGCCTCTGTTGGCGGCAGCTTCAAACGCCGTTATCATTGTTGAAACAAAATTATTGACAATAAAATTAATCGAGGACATGACAAAACATCATCTTCAGTAAAAATTCCGTGCAAACCGAATATCCATTTCTTTACGTTTATACGTATATTGTATAGAACTTAAAATAAAGATTAATCTTGAGATCAATACCTATAAGAAAGGACATTTACTGTTTTTTAATAAACAATTATTATGCCATATTACTTTTCATACACACATCATATTTGATAGATTAAAAAAAAATGACATTTTTTACGTTAAATAGATTTCCTACAAAAATTAAAGAATACGAATAATAATAATCAGTCGTAATTAACCATAATTATAGCAACATAATGAATTCCTTTTTTTCAAGATGAAAACGTGCACATTTTGACGTTTGAACGTTGCAAATCATTTGCTGAAACGTTTGCGATATTCGTTTCACACGATTGATTATACATTTCTGATTCCGGAAAATTAGACCGCGCATATGAATCGCGTCGCAAATAAAATACAAAAAGAAATAGCACGAGATCGAGTTACGTAAATAAAGACGTGTATTCTTCTCAAGATGCATATGAGATCGACACGGTCCACCCACGTCGATCACTCACGTGGCCTGATTACGCACGGATTGGCGTTTTATGCAATCGTCACCGGACATAAGGAAGAAAATACAAGTTCAACAGGGCGAGTCACGCGAAACCACAATCGATTCGTCGCGTTCGTAAGTATCTACTCTTTTCAATTACTTTTGCAAACTTCAAGCTAGATTTGTAGGATCTAGCTTGAAGAAACCTTGAGACGGTGTGTACACAGAGTCAGATTAGAACTCATGTCGCCTGTACTGCAATTAAAGCGTTGCTGCCCATTATTGAAGTTTCAAATATATGTAATCTAAATTAATCAAATTCTATATTAATATTTCCTAAGAAACACATAAAAGTCAATAAAATTGAAATGATTTTATTCTGATTTTTTTAACATCAATAAACAGTTAGATTTTGTAATATAAAATCATCATTGTGATTTTCACTTGACTTGGTGCGTTTCTTAAGTAGCTTTGCCTTCGATGGATAATTTTCTCAATCATTTCGTACATATCTGACAAAAACTGGTAATGTTTTTAGAAATTCTTTAAAAAAATGCTATCTCCTTAAATTTGTCGCCTCTACAGAGCTTAAGTTGCTTAAGTTAGCCTAAGCGCTAATACGTCCCTGTGCGTACAATGTGTCCACAAAAACTGTTGCTGTGTCAGGTCGAACCGTTATACTTTGCGAACGCATCGAATGATTAACTGTGATTCTTCTAAATCGATCGTATATGACGAACAGTATCATTCACGACTGCAAGAACTGGTCATTTGACCACCTTGAAAGTGTGGCCTTTCGCTATTTTTCGCAGCTTATTTTAATACTGTTCAGCTCTTTCAGATTTCAAATAGGTGATATGTTACAATTGAAGAATAAAAAGAAAGAAGACACAAGATTGCAGTTTTCTCCAAAAATTTTGCAAATTTTTTAAATATAAATGACTTGAATTTTGTTTAATTCTAATATAATTTTGCTTTTTACTATAATCTTAAATACAAAAGAAAATTTTTTTGAAAGAATGCAACGCCTTAATTATATTTCAGAATGTAATTTGCAACACTATCGTGGGATTAATCAGCAATTACCGTTTCTACAGTGTAAAATATTTAAGCGAGATAAGAAAGCAATTCTTAATTCCAACACGATAAATAAGTGATGGTAATCCCCCCCCCCCCCCCCCCCCCCCCCCACCCCCCTCCCCTCCAGTCGATCTCATCATCTTCGTCCCAGAACTTTCGCGATCCCAAACGGTAATCTCTTTTTACGAAACCGTTATCGCCACGGGAGAAGCGATTCTAGCTTTCGTGGTTTTCGTAAACGACTGACATTGTACGTGACATGTGCAAGGACGTGTTATCGTGGAATTCTAATCATAGTGATATAATAATTGACTTATTTTTCGTTCTCGTTGGATGCTTATCTCGCTCGCGAAAACGAGACGTTCAGCAAGAATATTAATATTCGAGCATAGATAATAAGTGAGCCCGTTGTTATGTAATATTAGCGAATTGGAGTAAGAGGGAGTAAGTTTACAATATAGGGATTTTAATAAAAGATCTAATCGACAAGGTGATTAGATTAGTTAGCGTATTGATAGTGTGAATTCTGATGATTGCGTATAGAGTATTATGTAATTGCTCATCGCGCATGGAAATATGTATAATATCATTAACCTAATTATTATTCATGAATATTTATTTATTGTAATTGTTGTCACAAAGAATTTCATTTTACAGCCCATTTATTTTCGTGAGAGAGAACATCTGAAGCAGCCGATCAAATAACACACATGCATATCTCACGTCAAAATCAAATCGAGGCGGTTTGCCAGTGATTCATATATACCGCGGCATACATTTGCGAGATTACATCATAAATATTTAATTTCATAAACATGATTACGAGTTAAGCAGTAAATTAACTGGAAAAAAACACTATGCGACAGCGATTCGGAATATTAATTTACAAAAAAATACGATAATCTTATAAAGGCGATAAAAACCATGTTCTTTGCTTTTTATCGGACTTGTATCAAATTAAGAAGTGGATAATTTAATGAGATAAATATTAAAGTGCATCTATATGATATGGCACACAAATCGCTGTTTTTTATTATTAAATATAATCGAAAATATTTCACAAATCGCGATTTAATGTTAATTGATAGATCAATTATACGAGCGAGAATAAATGTTTTGATCTGAAGCATATTTAAGGATGCGCGTAAGGATTTATAGCGTACTTTAATCATCGATGTCTTCTCACAATAACTCTCATTTAATTATAAACACATATTACGATTATCGAGATCATTCACGTGAGTTATGAATTATAAGTGTCGAATTTTAATCAAATAACTTTTAATTACTCAAGTGTCGATCACGTGCAAAGCGACATGACGAGAGTCACGCGATTGACAAGGTAGATAGAATTATCATAATCACGGATCGATAGAACGATTAGAAGGAAAAATATTCAGAAAATAGAGAAAAACCGCAGAAAAACAAACTTTACGAGAGAATGCCTTTTCTTACGATTTTGTTTCATATCTCTGCTGATTTCAAAAGACACGTTTTTTTTTTCTTTATTCCTTATACCTTTGGCAATTTTATCCTAGATACATAGTCCGAATGACGTAACAGGCATAAACAAAAAAAAAGAAGATTATATCTCGAGGGTTATAAAATTCCTTAAACACACCGTTCGCGCGTTACCAAAGGCACGCCTAGTCTTATGCGAGTTATACTTTGTTTCTTGAACGAGCGTAATAAAGTAAATTGCTCTTTATATTAAGAGACGAGATACGGTAAGCGTGCTCGCAATTTAAGAGTAATACCGCAGACTATATTAATAATAGGCGTCTTTAAATCATATAATTTACATAATTGTTCAATTTTTCTTAAAGGACACTGTCTTTACACTTAAAAGATTCTTACACTTGTTGAGTGTAAAAATTGTATTATTTCCGATTTTAAGATGTGTCGTTTCGAAAAATTACAATCTCACAATTTTCTTTATTATCGCTGATCTCTCAGGTTATGATTCAAGATATCGGATTATGAGGAAACGGACGGGAATCCGCAGGTGTTGCATCTGCAGCGGCACTGAGGCGGCGAGTTCGCGAAGAGCGTGCATATGCGAAAAATTTTACAAGTGACGTACACCAGCACATACATCGAATGACGAACGACGGTTAGAGTTACACGGGGTGCTCAGCACAGTGACGCGTTCGAGGTCACGATGCATTGTCATCTTGTCTTCGAAAGCACGCGGAAAGCCTGAAATCCCGGGCAGACTTGGCAGGCATTGTGACAAGCGATCTCGCGGATCTTCCCTACTGACTCGTTGGAAAATAGAAAAGAAAGCAGATGGAAATACAGAGCGACGTTAGAATCTGTGATCCTTTCCGCAACAGACAAACTTCGCAATCTCACACAGACTAAGTTCAATTATATTTAATTCACCCAGGTTACTTCGCGAAAATATTTTTGTTATCACGTTCCATTTTAGCTAGTAATGCGAATTGAAATAAATATGTTAACGTAGAGGCGTATTGTAAATAATTTACGTTTCGTTGACTGATTTGTAATATGTAAATATTATTATAAAAATTTTAATTTAACGATATAAATCTATGCAGAAATATTAAAAATCAGCGTTGGAGTAATCAGCAAATTAAAGAATGTCGATATGCAAAATTCCGCGAATG